GGACTTCCCACAACTAGGGCCGAAATGTTAGTTTGTTGATTAAAATAAAAGAGGAAAATAAAGGAAAGGAGAAGAAAGAGAGTTCATGGCGAGAAAACTAAATTGCAAAGAGAAAGCGTGATGCCGCCGCAAAAGTATGAAAACGTAGAAAACGAAATAGAAGCTGAAGCATAAAACTAAACTTAAAAGAAGCTAGAAAAATGAATTTGGGGCAAAGTGCAGTAAATTGAATTGCAGGAAACGAAATACATCAATGGAGATGTTCAAAACAAAATAACAAAAATCAGAGTTGAAACTAATGGCAGGGTAGAGCTAAAGACTTAACTAGGAAAGGTGTTTGAGGAAACTGGATCTAAACTAAGACATTGCTTGTAAAACTAAAATGTAGATAGCGCTGGGCTAGTTGTGTGAGAGGCTGGTCTTCTTTGCTGCGTTTCTTCTTTGCATCTTTATAGCAGTAAACACCCTTGGCAGCATGCTTGGAAATCTGTGGCAGCAACTTGACAATCAACGACAGCATGAAATCTGAAACAAACTTGGCAGCATGCTTGGAAATCTGTGGCAGCAACTTGACAATCAACGGCAACATGAAATCTGAAACAAACTGATTATTCTGTTGATTCTGCCAATTATTCTCCTGGAAGTTCGCAACAAACCAACAACCTTGCTGCAGTTGTGGAAATAACCACTCAACCTTATCCAGATATTTACTCCAACAACTTTCAACTATGAAATATCTGCCAACATGGATGACACATGGCATCATTATACTATTTTGCAAAAATGGGTGTAAACACTATCTATAAAAAGTTAATAATAAAAAAAAAATCACATTTTGAATATTGATGACATTGCTGTGGGAATGTCGCTCACGGTCACGGGTCAGCTCCCGACAAGCGTGGGTTACAAGACTCTGTTTTTGAACTTCTAATTGAAGGACACAGTGGGACTCACATGATCTCAGTCCTTCCCTTCATCTATTTCTCTTTTGTTTTATTCTCTGTCTTCTTCCCCTCGTAGCCTGGAATCTTCATTTTTTCTACTCATGAAAAAAACTTTTTGCACAGATGGATTCCTTCACGAAGCACCCCAAAAAAAGTCAAAAACTTCTCATGAGATACTGAAATTACCAAGCACCCACCCTCTAAACTACGTACTATACTACCCAGAAAAAGGTATTGTATCCAATTAGGTCAAACTCAAACCCGAGCGAGCATAGGCCTCTCGTGATTTCTTTCAAAAACTTCAAATATAATAATTTGCCTCTGACTCTGAGTTTAACTTTACCATCAACAATTGAGCCCTTATATTTTTTATGGTCATTAAGCCTTTCAACTTGTTGGAAACAAACCAAACGTGAACAAGTGAAAGCATGTGAGGCTTATTGTTACCATGTTATATCAATATTTCATGTTTGAATCATGGAATAGATGAGGAACAACTTGGGAAGAGGATGATTGTTCTTTCTTTTTTTTTTTTTGTATAATTTATCATTTAACATATCAAAATAATTATTATAGATATATCACTTTTTTCATTTTCTCACTTCCTTGTTTTTCATGGTATTTACATACCAAATAATAATGTAATTACAATAATGATTAACATTTCTATAATACCATATATTTAGATAGTGATATTGAGACTCTTTGTAACATATTATTTGATATATCAAAAAAATGTAACCTTAATGATTCTATAAATAAGTTTATAAGAAAAATTACTTATGAAAATTCATTTCTTAATGGAAACTCCTATTGAAGTCCTCTTATTTCAATATGATTATGACTTCAATTTTCCTCCCTTTTTTTTTCTTTATTCAATTGAGTCCCTCTATGATTTACTTTCTGCCTTTTCCTTGGAGCTTATTTCTTGAGTCAATTGCAAATAATGAAAATTTTGAAACTTATTTAAGCCTTGAATTTTACGAAAATAAAAAGGAGCAAGAGATTAATTGCGGAGTCGAACACCTAAAATTAAATTAAAAAAAGCAATTATAACTGCAAAATAATTATCATTTAATAGATGGGACACTCTTTGATATTTAGTTACATACCATGTCACAGTCTCAATCTCATTTTTTTATTTTTTGGGTACATAGTCTCTACCTCAATTATTTTATTTTATTTTAATTGTACAATAAAAAATAATTATATCTCATTTTTTGTCTCACCTCATTTATATACCATGTGATTAAATTCAACATCTCTTACTTTTAATAAAAAAAATACTAAATTATTTAAGTTGTTGAGTTTCTATCTTAATTCTTTTTTTTTTTTTTTGGTTTTTCACCCGATATTCAGTACTTCGTCCGGACTAATTCAAATCGATCTGCGTCGTGCACCTGGAAATGATGGGTGAGTCTCTCAATAGAGGCTGTTGCATACACAAAATCTCAAACTTGAGATCTTATTTAAGTTGAAACAAATCGCTTACCACTTAATCCAACCCTTCGTTAATTCTATCTTAATTCTTATAAGAAACAAAACAAAATAAAACAATATCTGAATACGACGAGTCATGCACCTGCTTAGACCGGCAGAACCCGCCATCAATTGCTTCGAGAGAAAGTCTCACGCTCGAGAGAAAGAGAAAGCAAGTGCCTTCACGCTCTACAACAGCAAATTAATCCCATCTGCATCAGATGTTAAGGAGAGGTTAGTAATTAAAAGTTTAAAATTTTAAATTTAAATTTTAAGTTGAGTGGATAAAAATTTAAGAAAAAAAAAGGGTTATCCATTTTATATAGGCTATTCAAATCTACTCAAAAAAAAAAAAATCTTATATGCATAAGTTATAAATAAAGGAATTTTTAATATATTGCAAAGATGTGTTTATTGTATTTTTTTATTATTA